TGTTATGAATCCCTGCTCGCCTCTCGTAACCTCTTAACTGTCATAACTATACCTAATGTGACTAAACGGCCGCTTTTCCATTCTATTCTGTCAACAGCTTAAGAAGAGGACAGTCTCCGACTAATAGAAAAAAAAAAAAAAAAATTTAAAAAAGTAAAAAAAAAAAAAAGCACACCCTTAAAAGATAAATAAGACAAGCTTCCGCTCGCCCCCCCCCCCCCCAAGTTTCCAAGAAACGACATCAAACTTTTTGATCGCTGTTGTGTAACCCCCAACTTCCGTCACGTATTTCCTAACTAGCACCCCCCTTATCCCCTTCCTTCCTTTCCTTATTTTCCTCCTCCTCCTCAAGCTGTTTCTCTTCCTTGTCCTTTTTCTTTTAGTATGTCTCTTTTTTTCTTTTTACTGTTACATCGCCAATGCGACTGAGGACGATGAGGAATCGTCATACGAGACGCCGCCGTCCTCGCCAGAGGACGAATCCGCGTCCGTCTAGTTCTGTTAGGTTCCATTTGCTTTTCTGACACTCTCGACTGTCCTTTACGCTTATTATCCATCGTCCGCGTTATCGTTATCGTTTCAGTTGCCTATTGCGTTTCCCAAACCCCAATACGTCGACGGGCGCCCAAGCAAAACGATCTACGATTTAGGGGGGTGGATTTCCATTCTAGTTAACGGCAATTCTAACACTGTATCGCTCTGGTTCGCATATTGTTATCGATGTTGCTTGTCATCGTGGTGTTCGTAATTGTTCGATGGGATTATATACATGTAACCAAAATGGGAATTACTACTACTACCCTCTTCTTTTGTCTAGAATACGTAATCGTGATAGATGTTCAACTTTTAAGGCTTAATTATGGAGAGGAAAAAGACAAAATGCTCGAGGGCGAGGAATAGTGTGTAAGAGAGATATCGGAGGGATATAATAGGCAAGGATTGAAATGATAGGCGAGTAATAATAATGGCAGGGAGAAAAGCGTAAAGAGGAGAGAGAGAGAGTAATGCATTGCGATTGATGACATCCTGAGAGTAGAGCAGGAGAGTGTAGCATGAGCGAAAGAGAAACGCAGAGAGAACAAAGCAGAAAAGACATAGGAGGAACGAGAGTGAAAAAATGGGAACAGGCAAAAGAAAGAGAAGATTCTTGATAAAGAAGGAGCTGTGGCAAAAAAAGAAGAAAAAAACAAAAAAATCAAAAACGAACGAAAAAAGCAGCAAAAAAAAATATGTGTGTACGTGGAAAACCGTTACAAAGCAAAGAATAAAAAAGAAAAAAAAGAAAAAAAAAAAGTTGACTAAATGTCATATATGTCTGTTTTTCGTGTTTTTCTGTCTATCTGTCTTCTTTCTTAATCTTTATCAATAAATGTTCCCTTTCAAAAAGCTCTTCCTTACATATGGAACGGCAAATCAATAAATGTATTAAAAAAAAAAAAAAAAAAAAAAAAATTGAAGGGAGTCGCGAAAGATGAAGAGAGTAGTAGGAGATGGAGAGAAAGAGGAGGACAACGCGAAAAAAAATGGCTATGACTCACGGAGTAGAATAAACCTTCTCTTTCGCGTAATTAACGCGACATCAGTGTTGAATTATTCCCATACGAATGACTAGCTTGACAAAAGAAGGAACATCTGCTGATTGTAATTGGGCCATCTTCCTTTCACGCAACAGAATAAAGAAAGAAAGAAAGAAAATGACGGGACAAAAGATGGAAGAAAAGACCGAGTAACCAGCAAAAAGAAAAATTCACTAACCTTTGGCCTGTCCAATCTGTGGCTTATACCCCTCATCGAGTAGCCCCCTTCATGCTCACTATTCGTTGCTGTTTCTTCCCTTCTAAACGAGGCATGAGCCCCGCCACATCACACGAGCCCTCGATTCGTGTGAACAGTGAGGATTGTGAACGATGGTGAAGCTTACGGCTAATAAAGCTCGTATTGACGGTGAGACTTGCCACTGTCACATGAATCGAGGCTTGTGTAATAGTGAGGCTTGTGCGTCGTCTAGAAGGGGAAGAAACGACGACGAAAATTAAGTATGAAGGGGAATCATCCCCCCCTATAGCACTCGAAGGGAGGCACGACCCACAGATTGGACAGGCCTATTATGTTAACCTCTTAGCTACTGAGTTTCACTATCATTTCTCCAAAATTATCACGCTCCCGTGTTATGTTTACTTTAATAGTTTCTGTTAAATGATTATACTCTTACGTTAGTAAGAATATAATTATTTAACAGAACGTATGTTGTTTTTCCTTTAACAGTCCATCATTATAGCTTTTTTCCAAATAATTACGCACACGTATCATTTTTTTCTTCAACAGCACTGCAGTTTTCTTAAATGATTACATTCCTATTGTTTCCTTCAACACGCTACTACAATTTTTTTTTAAATGATTATGCTCCTACGTATGTCATTTCTTTTTCCTTTTAACAGCACTCTACTTTCTTCTAGATGATTTACGCATCCACGTTATTTTTTCTTTAACAGTACGCATCTATAGTTTTTTCTAGATGACTATGTGACTTTTTGTTATTATTTTTTTTTTTAAGAGTATAGTTTCTTTTAAATAATTACGCAGCCGTATCGTTTGTCTCTCAACAGCACGCCACTGTAGTTTCTTTGAAATGATTACGCACGCGTATCATTTTTTTCTTTAACAGTACGCTACTGTAGCTTTTTCCAAACCAATACATTCCCCTGTTCATTTTTTTATTTAACAGTACAGCACTATAGTTTCCTTAAATGATTACATTCCTACGTATGTCATATTTTTTTCTTCAGTACGCAACTATAGTTTCTCTTAAATGATTATGCAGCCGTATCGTTTGTCCCTCAACAGCACGCCACTATAGTTTCTTTTAAATGATTACGCACTCGTATCATTTTTTTCTTTAACAGCACGCCACTATAATTTCTCTTAAATGATTACGCCGCCGTATCGTTTCCCTTTTAACAGCACGCCACTATAGTTTCCTTTAAATGATTACGCATCATTTGTACTTTAACAGTATGTCACTGTAGCTTTTTCCAAATCATTACGCTTCCATGTGATTTTTTTTTTTTTTTTTTTTTTAAGAGTACAGCACTATAATTTTCTTAAATGATTACATTGCTACGTATGTCATATTTTGTTTTCAGTACGCTACTATAGTTTCTTTTCAATGATTACGCTCTCGTGTGATTTTTTTTCTTTAACAGTATATGAACGCTACTTATATTTTCTCCTAAATGATTACGCTCCAACGTATGACATTCTTTCTATAATTTCTGCTGAATGATTATACTCTTATAATATATAAATATAAATATAATATATTAATATAAATATCATATCTGTCTTCCACTTATGTTGATTTAACACCATTAAATT